CGAATGGAACAATAAAACGATTTACCTGTAAAGCTCGCTTTCTTTATAAACTGTCACAAATTGATTCGGCAAATTTATAACTGTCTGGTTTAAAAGTTCATGGTAGATAAATGGTATCACTTGCAACAAATGTAAGCAACATACGACTTAAAAGGTCATTCGCTTAAGAGACAAACCTTATAGATCTCTCGGCTTTTGGACTAAAGACAAAGGCGTCCTTGAATTTTACACATGGACATGCGTGACTTTTAAACAAGGTCGTGCGTGATTCCTAAAACTCAGAGTATAAAAAGGCAGAAACTTCTTGTGAATTTTAATTGTGAAGTCCAAAAGCAAGAGAAATCGTCTGTTTGTATTTTACAGGTAAGAATTTTCTGTTTTGTTACTCACCCTTAAAAGTTAAAGATTTCTGTGGTAACCAGTAATCGTAATTTCGTTTTGAGTTCTCTTTTTAATTTACTATTATAATGTAACGGTATATGGTATTATTTTTAAGATTTGATGTTCATTTGTATTTATATGAATTTACTACTAGCTTAAGGCTAAACTTTACCTACGAATAAAAATATTCTTTAGGTAATAAGCTATAATTTTCAATGATCTTTTCCAGGTCGTTATTCTAAATTAAATGAAAGAAAATACATTTCTTTATGGCATCAATCGCAACTATTGAATTTTAGGCTTGCTGAATAAAAGCAATATCTAATCACTTGTATGGTATTCAAAAAGGCAGAAAAATTTACAAGCACATGAAGTTGTAGCTCATATGAAAATTATTTAATATGTATTGTAATATGTATTTTATGTATTTTGCAATATAAAGGTTTTTATAAGTTGTATCTTTGGAATGTAGTTTATATATCAATAAAAGAATTGTGAAGTCCAAAAGCAGGAGAGATCGTCTTTTTGTATTTTACAGCGATCTTCGCTACCTCTCGTTGCCAAAGCTTTCCCCACAAAAAATGTAACCGTATCTACGCCATCATATGTGACACCTTATCTTTAAGCGGGCCGAACTTCTTCGCTCTCTTCCTCTCTGATCAAGATTCAAGACATCTCTTAAAGTAGCGATAAATCCCTTCTCATAGCCAGAAATGAGAAGAAGGTTATGTTAAGAAACAACTAAACAACAACGCAGAGTTTTCCAGCATAATACATCTACTCGAAACCAACTGACTAGGCACTGAGGATATGCAGAATTTGCTCCGACAATGAAAGATTCCTAGAAAGGTCTGAAGAGCTGGCTAAGTATTTAATTTACCGAGGCTACGACAAAGACCTGATTGCAGAGGCAATTTTATGGGCCAAACAAACAAACTGTGATGACCTACTAAAATATGGACAGAATGAAAGGGCTGATAGGATTCCATTTATCCTGCCCTATCACCCAGACAACCCCAAAGTAGGTAAAATCATCGCATAACACTGGCGCATCGTGCAATCGTGGGACATACTAAACCTAATACTTCCGAACAAACCTATAGTAGCCTACCGGGGACCAAAAAAAACCTAAAGGACATCCAAGTCAGGGCAAAGCTAACGTCAATCGCTAGTCAAGACCAACCTAGTCAATCTGGACCCTGTGGCGATAAAAGATGAAAAAACCTGTCAACATATGATAGAGACCAGGACATTCACTAGCACAGTGACTAAGGAAAAACTAAACATAAATGGTCCAACAAAAGGTACAATACAAAAGAGAATGTTATTTTTCTCATCACATGTAAGATCTGTGGCCTTCGGTAAGTAGGAGAAACTCAAAAGCTACACAAAAGGATAAACATTCATATATCTGATTGGATGACAAAAAACTGTACAGAAGCCCGGTCTCTGAACACTTCTCCCTTGGCCACACTTTCAGTGATATAACACTTATCACAATTGCTAACAACCACAGCTGTAGTTCCGAAACCAGGAAGGAAAAGGAATCATACTGGATAAGCCGCCTTAGAACATTGAAACCAAGCGGTCTAAACAAAGAAGACTAGAAAAAGAAAACCATGCACTAGTAGAATTAAACTTTTCTAAATCTTCTTAGTAACCTTTAATTATCAATATAAGAATATCTGGTATAGAATCAAATATCCGGGATATAATCTGCGTTACATAAATGTACAAAAAATAATAGATGTCGCTTTGGCTTGTAGACTTTTAGGGAATTATAAACAGTTTTTAGTATCCGCAACAAGTCTATAAAAGCTGGTTTTATTGAAAGTTTTAATTCATGTGGAGACAGCCATGTAGAGGTTTACAAACACAACGTTTTTGTGTTTATTTGTTTGTTTTATATGTTTTGTATTTGCCTTTGAAAAAGACTCATTAGGAGTAGAAAGCCCTCAGGGTAGTTAGTTACTAGTTTCGCACTGTTCGTCGTCAGTTTATTGCATCTATTTTAATCAATCTCTGACACACGTGATCCCTTGGTGGATCCAGTGCGCTTGAAAGAGTTGTTATACGCCATATGATATGTATTCTTTATATATATATATATATATATATATATATATATATATATATATATATATATATATATATATATATATATATATATATATATGTGTGTGTGTGTGTGTGTGTGTTTAATTCAAAACATACACTTTTTGCAGCATCTGAGTAAAAACAAGTGAGCCTAATCAATTGCAGAAGGAAAATGTTGCCCAGTTATGAACCTGTCGGTGTACACCTTATGATGTATAACAAATGAGCTTAATCTTTACACACTTATCATTACTTGTGTATATCATCAATCTGCACATCTTGTCATAGCACGCATATTGATGTTCTGACTGGCGAGAGAGAGAGAGAGAGAGAGAGAGAGAGAGAGAGAGAGAGAGAGAGAGAGAGAGAGAGAGAGAGAGAGAGAGAGAGAGAGAGAGAGATTTGATATCTGAAGTAACATTATTGGATCCCTAACTGAAAGCAAACAAAAATAAGAATATTCCTTTTATACTGAAACTGTACTTCTTTTGCCATTGATGACAAATCTGAATCATTATCAGAATGAGAATCAGGATGCACTGACTTGTCATCACGTACAAGAGAATTAAAACCAGCCTCTAGAGATGATGTATGAGACCAGGCATGCCTAATGATGAGTTCTAGATTAATGTAACTTGCCAATTATATTACCAACAGCAGAATAAACATGTACAGTTAACGGCATCATTCGTCTTGTTTCTATATTCCTATCAAATTCTAAAAGCCAGCTACTTTTATGAAAGTTTTCTTTTGCTATGTTCGCCATTTTAATAATAGTTCATTTTTTTCTTGACCGTTGTGTTTGGTCGTTTTGTTCCAAGAAGATATATCTAACGGTTTAGAAAATTATTACTGTCAAGGATGCGACGGAAAAACAGACAGACAAACTGTTTGTTACATTGGGGATGAGCTTGATTTGGTCATAGCGGGTGCACACGCGTTTTTTTATAAGTGCATGTCTTTATCCTACAACGGATGCCTAATTTGCATGAGCCTGTCATTCATTTGGAAGATTAGCAAGCTTGCTGACTAGCTGTGATTTAACAGCATACCCAACACCAACTCAACGGTGCTCTTCTTTGGCTCGGCCACTCCAGCAGAAGGTTTTACCGACTTCTACTTTATTGTACTGTCCTACAAAAACTAGACGACGTTCATTCATGGCCGTTGAACAGTTCTTCTCTTTCGTTTTTTATCTTACAGATTAACTATCCATTCGTGTCCACAGATTACAGACACCGGTTGAAAGTGGCGTCACTTTTGTCTTTTTGTGTCATTTTCGACCACTGAAGCGATAGCCCCGAGGGGCTGCCTACGTTGCTTCAATACACTCACAAAGTGACACTATGATCTGAGCCGCCTGTGTATAATTATGCAGATACATCTCCAATGTATTCGTCGACACTGGACTTTATTACAGTTTTTCAGTTTGGTATCACTACATATAAACAGTAGTTAAATACACTAAACTCCTGACATCTTATACCTGCAGATTTCATTTAAACAAAGTTTTGATATATTCGGCTTATACAGAACTTGTTAGTATCATGACCATTAGAATACATTTTTCAGCAACTTTCTTTGACATTGCTAACTTGATTGAATTTTCGCTCGTTTGAGATTGCCAAATGAAAAACAGGCAGTCTTGCACTTGTGTCTCATAAGTGCACCTTCAGACAGTATTGTAGTAATTGTCTCCTGCATTACAAGTCGACGGGTTTTTGTTATAAGCATCAACCAAGCAGAATGGTCATTTCATCAATATACTCTTTTGAAAACGTGATGAATATAAGCACCAAGATCTAAGTATATTCTATATTGTTAAGTGTATCGTGCTTAGAATAAAAAGAAGATAAGAAAACAAGATAGCCAATAAATAATTTTCCCAGAAATACGCAAAAGAGTCAATTACCTAAAATAAAATCTTGTCGCAGCTCTATCAATAAAAATAAAGGTAATAAAGTGAACACTAATTTTATCTTGTGCACGTAACATGTACCAGAGCTCCAGATGGATCATGAGGCGTTAATACTAATTTCAGGAGAACCAGTGTACAAACAACTAGGGGAAAAAGTTGTATATGTTCGATTATACAGGCATTCCGAGAAGACACTTTCTAATTAGTGCCATCAGGTGGATTGAAGGAAGATGCTTTTGTAATACGTTTGCAGGTAAAATACGATATGAAGAAAAGAGTTTAACTTTACCAAATTAAATGCATAGAAAAACTGAAAAGGACAAACATGTGTCTGAGAAGTTTGGTTACTTGACAGCGTTTTCGTTTGTGTGTGATTTACATTTTCAACTTAGCTTTAACAATTTTTCAGTCATATCGCTACGATGTCCGCAGTGTGACAGTTTATAGTGAAGTCTAGTACTGGGGCATCATGCCGCAGATATGTAGCATGATGTCCCACCCAGTCACATTCTCTTGATACCAGGCCGACAAGTTCTAACACTAACCTCTTAATGATGAGCGCCACGTGGGACAGCTGTTAGTACCATTTTTTTAAGTCTTTGATATGACCCGGTGGGGTTCGAACCCGCGACCTCCCGCATCCAAGGCGGACGCTCTGATTACTAGGCTACCGGACTGGTGTTCAATGGAGTGTATGGAAAGGTATATGATGGTTCGCCATCAGGCACGCCCAACATTCTAAACCTAGCTTTTATGACATCATTCAAAATGTACAATCAGCTCAAACAGAGACGGGAAGGGCAGCAATTTGAGGAGTACTACGGGAAAGACTAATCAAAGCATTTGTTGATGATGATATATATTTGTTTAAAGTTCAGCGAGTAAAGAAATTCTACTATAGTAAAAGTTAAAATGTCAATACATCACCCTCTCACATTTGATATCGTAAACGTTTGATATTGTAAATCAATGCATCACTTAAAAACGTTCTAATCGATTGGTTTAATATATTAACATAATTCAAACGCTGTTTAGCGGTTTATGCTTTTTGTTTCAAATGCGGGATTTATTTCTCGGAGGCATGTTAATGTTGTGACCTTCACTTGCCTCTCAAGAGTCGCTCGTATTTATGAACAACTCGTATCATGAATAGGATGGTACAGCAATTAATAGGCTCGGCAGGACGCATGATGGCTCACGTGGTATATATATATATATATATATATATATATATATATATATATATATATATATATATATATATATATATATATATATATATATATATATATATATATGTGTGTGTGTGTGTATGTGTGTGTGTGTGTGTGTGTGTGTGTGTGTGTGTGTTCCTCAAAGCAAGAAGATAAGAAACAGCGAGAAAATCAAGACAATCTTTAGATAATCGTTTCAAGAAGTACGCTACAGAAACCAAGCCTCAAGAAGGAATTCAACAATTCTTGTAGTAAATATCAAGGTTAGCTTTTGATCTCCAGAATATGTTTCTGGCTCATATACCACAATATCTGGAATATGATATTGCGAACATGGGGAAGGATCATTTCCAAAGCTCCAGATATTCATTTATTAGAGCTTCCTTAAATGCGACAGCATTTTTAGATAAAGTTTAATTATATAGAATATATACCACCAGGTCCACTGATTACCATCACGTTTAAAACGTACGTGATTTTGACCAATACTAGTATTTAGTTGAAATGTGGGTTTTATCTTATAAAATAATCTTATAAGAATAGCGTGAATAAACTGTGAGAATTAACATTTTTCATACTTACGAATGATTGTTTGAACGCTAAACAATATTTCACCGGAAATTTCCTCGGCAGATGCACTTTCAAATTAAAGACGAATAACAATAATGCAAGTTGATGTCGGTAAAGCTGCATTTCCAATATGATGTTGAATGTTTTTTTTTTTAGTACTTCCAATCTGAAGCTAATATTGATGACTGATAATTTCGATATACAAAAACATAGTATGCCGGGAATAAAAATATTGTTTCAGTATTTAGCGTATCAAGTGATATTCTTTAACTTACAGTTCGGAAGATGAGGTAGCTGAGTTGGAAGAGATCCAAACCAGTAAGCCAAGGTCACAGGTCAACATCCAGTCAGTTCAGTCTAGGTCAGCAACCTTAGCGAGTCATCTCATAAAGACAAACAGCTCCCATTTTCACTTTGGAACATCGCATATGGATTGCATGTTTTCTTCATGTAAATTTCACGTGCTAGAATCAATTTGCATATAAGACACTCACATGTGTCTCGTGAAAACAGTCACGCATGTGTTTGATGTGTAGACAAGCACACGTGTCTTATGAGTGGAATTTTCCATATGTAGTAGTCACAGGACTAAGTAATTTGTCAAGATAGTTTGTTATTTATTTGTGGAGCAATTTTCTTCCATATTGGTAAGAAGTAGTGATATGGTTGATTAGTTTGATAAGCATTGTTTTTTTCATTTTCCCTTACAAGTTGAAGTTGCCTAGGTATCTTCGAAAATATCAGGAAATGTTTTGGAAATAGCACTATAGTTAATTACAAACAAACCCAAGCTGAAATACGGAGAAATTTGGCGTGAATCATATCTAGACTTATTTATTAGAGTTTTATTTTAGCTATGACGTCAATATTATCAGTTGATTTATTTAGGTAATTAGTATAACGAACATGATTGAGCGCAACAAGTATATCTGTATTAGACTATGTAAACACTAGAATAATAAAGTGCGTGCAAAATATTAGCTAAACTAGTTCATCCGATTTGCAAGAGCGAGATTGTATACGGATTATCAGATTTTGGATTTACATTGATGTTTAAATAATTCCCTCGTCCGTTTCCTAATTGCCTCTTTATAAATATTTTCAAGCCTTTGCCTGTTGGCACGTTTACGAATTGCGAAAGGTTTTAGTACTGTATTCCATCAACATATATTTTTATATACTAGTGTATTGTGCACTATTAAATTTGATTCCTTGTGTGAGTTTCACTATCTGTCTTATTTAATTTCCATCTCTTATAGCCCTTGCAGTTTCGGAGAATTATTCCATACTTATTGTATAATTATTCGTGAAATACATAAAATTATTGACAAAGTATTTTTATATATGTTTCAGTCTTATATCTTCAAATGTGGAAAAGATACCCTTATATTTTCACCTTTGAAAAAAGAAGATTTCCAGTCATGTAATGCAAAGCTTGATTGTGTTAGAGTCTACAGAAGTTATACTCTCTGCAAGAAAAACGAACATTTACTAAACAAGAACAAATACATTTATAAGGCACTACTTTTCAGACGTGGAAATTATGTCTTGCTGAAGAACTTTAAACGTTCACGTCTCAACGAAATTATTTCCCCCTGTTGTAGATTTTTCAGTAGTTTTAGAAAATCCGGTGTGATGCAATTGCTGAATCGGACCTGCTTTGCAGTCAGATAGGGTAAACTAGTTTGAAAAATGACACAAATATAATTTATTGTAACATAGTAGAGCGTTGCAAACTTAACACTCATTCAAATCGTTTATAGTTTTATGATCAGTGTATTATTACAGTTGAAAGTAAGGTTAAGCTACGAAAGAGCTGGGGTGTTGGAAGGTATGCTGTAGAGTACTTGTAATCTTATAAACTTCAAAGATTCAATGCAGGGTTATAAACAGAGCATAATCTTTTCCTACGTAAGTACTGGATATAAAATATTTTGCACGTTTATTTTGTGTACTACACTATACAATATATCTGGTATTAGTGTAGAGAAAGGGAATATCATGGAAAGTGTTCACTAGCAGACAGAAAGTTGCCAACGTCTGAAAATAAATCAAGTCAAAGTCTTCCATTTGATCTGCTTTCTTTCTAACATATTTCCAGCCTCACACAGCATGGTGTCCGCTGAAGTCTCAGCTTGGAATGAAATGTTCGGAAAACTGAAAAATTAGATGGCCAAGAACAGTCAGACTGATTGAAAAGATTTAAGTAAGATAGTCATCGGCATCATCAGTCGAGTAGTCTGGTAGACCATTGGTGTACCGCATAAGACCGAACAACCAGCTTCCTCCATTGCTCTGGATTTTCCGTCTTTCTTAGTGAGTAGCTCACTGTCAAGTCTGTCCACTCCAGAATGTTGTAAGATACAATGCGATAAATGTAAGAGTTATGCGTATGAATACATAAACGGATATAGCTTGTAATGCAGCACGGATATTAATCCGTCTAGGAGAAGTGTTGTTATTTATGATGACAGTGATTCCCGCAGTAGCGCGCTAAGTATTTTTAAAAGTAAGTGTAGGTCAGGAAATCATTTTTCGTACGACACCTCCAAGTGGGTTTATATTTTTGTGAAAATACTTGGATGACTATAGCAACTAATCAGTTTGAGAGAAATCAGATGATATGAAAGATCTTTAGAGATACAGGAGACGAATAACTGGCAAAGTAGTATTCTTAGCGCTCTTATGGTTCTTCAGAGATTCATATGGGTTTTGCACAGACAAAAGGTTAGAATTTATGGCTCTCATCTGTCAACTCTATGATAAGAAAACGTGCTTGATTCGATACAGTTTCTTGTCCGAATCAATGATCTAATTATTCCTTGTCCATTTCGTACCTTTCCCTAATTATTTATTGTTTCATTGTTGGTGTAGATAGATAATCAAGAATCATTATATTTTCATCCTGAAATTTTCGGTCATCTGTACCACTTTAACCAACTAAACCCAGATGTAGAACATGTACATCAAAAATTACATTTGTCATGTTAGTGCTGCACATGATGATATAGTGAAACAGATTAGAATCCTTGTTCGACTGACTCATGTTACCACCATCAGAAGTCATATGTCTGTAAGGTTTAGAAGAGTGCAAAAGAGCTTTATATTAGTCACGGTTGTGACCTTTAAAGATAAGCCTACATATAGAGACTGAATCTGTGATTGACTCGGTTTTTAAACCTTGGCCTGTCTTACAGATTGGCTAGCTTGGGTCTTTCTGACTGCCTGGGTAGTTGAAGTTGTGCTGCATCGGGAATGGGAAAACCCTGCGTCATTTCCGTCCAAATGCCAAGAACCATTACTCTGACGACATGCAACCCATATCAAAACTGATCTATCTTTTCAACTTCCTTATACCACATTCAGAATGACGCATTGGACCTATTATATTTCCATGACCCCGCCTGGGGTAAATGAGTGAATACACACGATATCTGCCACTCATAACTTTTAGTTCATTTTCTTTTGACTAATGATGTGATTATTTATTCTTCTGATACCTTAGATCTCTTTGCATCTAACAAGATACGTATTTGCCGCATCCGTTGCAGCTCTTCGTCTGTATTTCAAAAAGTATTGACAAATCTGGTTTTTGGTTCATGTATCTACTGTACTCCATATCTCTTTGCGGAGTAGGGTTTACGGATCTTAGCAACTTTGTAGACTTGATCTGTTCTACATTTATGCTCATGCGCACAATATTAATCAAAGCCATGGTTCAAACATGCATTCCTATCTATCTATCTATCTATCTATCTATCTATCTATCTATCTATCTATCTATCTATCTATCTATCTATCTATCTATCTATCTATCTATCTATCTATCTATCTTAAATAGAACTTTCCCTGTCAATTGGATATCTTTTGTTGCGACCTTTTAACTATTTTCA